CGACTCGTTCTGTGAACCATTTCACAATTGACAGCCGACATGAGAGCCATTTATTAATTGAAACCGCATTGTTGTTGGATAATTAATGCGACATTGTGTTGGTAATTAGTTCGCAATTTATCATTCGAATAAAAATGCCACCTAAAGACGCGTTTAACTCATATAGCTTGTGTATTTTTTGACTGGAACTTTGATGCGTATCATTTTCAATCAAAATCAAATTTTTATGCCGATGGCTTTTTAGAATAAAAAATGTCATTTTGTAAAATGACTATTGTATACGCTTAAAAGAAAATGTCAGAATAAAATATGTTTACGAATAGCAAGCCAAGTGTAAGCTCATTGACATTAAGTCATTTACATACGTAACACGTTATCATAATTCAACTTATTGAATGCAATAATGCTTAATGAAAAATATATTCTTGATACATTGCTTTTTAAATAAAGTATTCATGGCAAATTAGCTCAGATGACTGAGATTTTTAATAAAAAATCCCAACATCTGAAAATCTCACGTATACAAAAATTGTTTGTACTCGCTTCGCGCTCGTATCGGCTCTCGCTCAGCATATCGGTAGCAGAGCACCGTCTCGAAACATTTATGTATATATAATACAACGGTACTTTCCTCGCACTCTTCGATGTGCACTTGGCGAGCGAGCGCGACGACCATCGCATCGCACTACGGGGTAGGGATAACGAAATATCGCGAATGCCTTTCGGTATCGAGACGCCGCGCGCCGTACACCACTGCACAGCGCGCGAGCAGCGAGTTTCTATAAAGCACAAGACCGCAGATATATTGCATAATCACGGGGCGTGTATTTTACAGCGAGAAAAGGAGTATCGATAGTGAGTGAGAGAGAGAGAGAGAGAGAGAGAGAGAGAGAGAGAGAGAGAGAGAGAGGAAAAGAGAGGAGAGAAGAAACGAGGAATTTTAACTCGTCGTTTTGCCTTGTCTCGCGTCTTCCGGTGATTTTTAAAATTATTTCATAAAATACCTGTGTGCGCTCGCACGCGCATGTGTGTGTATTTTTGATGCACTAACAATCTGTATATGCACAGAGACGCGGTCGCCTGCGCGCAGCGATCGGCAAGCTGAGAAGCGATTTGTACACTGGATAATATTTAATAACGAAAATTACCGTCACTACTTACCCGAATGCAGGCCAGCCGATCTTCATTTATTATTATTATGCTCTTGGCACGCACGATTGATGAGGCGTAATAACGACGATCCATTTTTGTTCATTGCACTCATACAGGCTCGAGCTGTAAAATTAAGAATGCAGTTATTGTTGTGATTCATGTGTATAATATGCAAACTTTGAGCTTTTTGGAGAACTACCGGGAGTCTACAGTTGTTTAGTCGCTAGAATAACTTGATGTTATTATATATGTTAATTTAATTTTCGACTACACGGGTGTTGATCTGAATAGACTGTTGTATATATTTTTTCATCAACATTTTTTAATAGGTGAATTCATTTTTTTTTTTAAGTAACAATGATGACGATGTCATTTATAAATAAGTCCTCATAGAAATTATCTATATCAATAATGGTTTAATGATCAAAAAATGATTTTTTGAATTGTTCTAAAGTACATTATCATAAACTGGCTTGTTTTTCGCGATTTTTATGTTACAATTATGTAAGAAATATTAAACGCAACTTAACTAGTTTTCAAAAACGATAATACCCACTTTTAGCCTCTACCCACTAGATGGCGTGTATCTTTGTATCTGTAAATCTGCAAGTGGCAAAGTAAAAATAAATGTATAAGTTAGAGCATAATTATTCATAATGCACACATGTTTTTGTTTCTTTTTTGCCCCTGCTGCCAAAACGAAAAAGTTAATTTCTGATTAGGGATTCATGTTCATTCATTCAGTTCTATTGAACTTATGTGCATTATGAATAATTATGAAGAAAGATGTTTTTTTCTAACACTCATCTGAAAACTTTCTCAAAAATGTTTTACCAAAAAAACAATGTTCCAGACCCTGTTGACATTATTGTTAGTTCGTAAATTACGCAGATGAAGTTTATAATTAGTCTAATAAAGTGCAAGCACTTGAAAAAATGACGTTGTCGTCCTTAATACATAACTATAAACTACAGCTACTCTAATCATAAACCATGAGTCCATGACTGGAAAGGCTAAGACGCAACGAAACACTCAAACGTTCATCTTGATAATTTTCAATTAGACGCGAGATTGAATTAACTCCTTTCTGTAAAACAAGCTTGGCTCATGATTTCTTGGCGCACAAATGCTTAATTCGAGTTGCGTCAATGACTATAGCATAAATACACGAATTCAAAGCGATTGTATACACTCGTAACGTATTAGATGGTTATAAGCGTTCATCTATTCGTGTAAAAATCTTACTGTGTGTGTGTATACATATGGCGTACGACAAAATTAATAACATCCTATTGCATCAGCAGACGAGACTCGTCGCGCGCACCACACGTTAAGCCATTGCGATGCGACTACGTAAGTTCGTGTGTATCGCAAGTTGTGTATTTAATCGAAATACACATAAACGCAACATCCATGGATGGCACTCTGCAAGCTTCGAGTCGCTACGGAGGCTCGTTGTATTTCCAGGCTCGTCGCTGACCGTTCCCGTATCTTGACGCAAGCATCTCCAAAAGGGATCCGATCACAATGCGCGTTTCTAGCGTATACGTAGGCATAGGTGCGCTGTGCGTGTGCGGTGTGCACCTACCGCGCCAATGGTCGATTACCTCAGATGAGTCACTCGCACTGCACAGCTCTGACGTTTAAATTTTATATATAGTCGCGGCGCGAGAGATGCGCATTTCACAAGAGATTCCTGTATGTCCTATGCGAGCGCAAAAAGAAAATATAATAGAGATTTTTTGCACAACGCACAAGCCAAGAGAGCCGGCGAGGCGCAATTTCTCTCCGAGTACCATTTCACGCGAGTATGTGAATTTTTGCAGTTGACAACGACGGCAACGACGACGGCAACGACGACGAGGGCCCAGAAAAATATTTACTCGCGAGTTTATATAGCCTCGGGCGAAGAGCGATCGCTAAGATGCGTGTTTGATTTCTTGAGCGCAGGCGAATTTGTCGGTGTCCAGGTGACAGTGAAAAATGACAAAGCTCAAGCGCGCGTATGCGCGGCTTGATAGATGCGTTTGTTAATGATGATAAAGACTATCGAAAATGTTAAGTGGATTTTTCAAATGATGCGATTATAATTGCCAGCGGGACTGGATGATTTTCGGGCTTCAAATGTAGGTAATCATGCCAGAAGATATCTCTGCATGTCCCAATTAGTGAAAAAAAATTACTGCAGAAAGATCGACCAGTGTTTTAAGTACAGATGATGAATTCTTGTTATTTTTCAATTAAATCATCTCTTATAAATTGTTTTACATTTTTTTATTCTTACATCAGAAGTAGTCCTAGTTAACATTTTTGTTAAATCCACATTGAAATACTTCAAGTAAATGAATCTTTTTTTTATTTCAGACGAATACAAGTTAGAGAATGAAAATCTTGCAAGATTCAATCGAATTATCTCTCTAACAAAAAACACCTTCCTATAAACAACTTAATGCAGTACCCAGACGTGAAGCCCTTTTAAACTCGCGCTGCGCGGGCCGCCTTTTAGTTGGATATGAAGGAATCTTACAGCTGAAACTATGAGGATGAGAGAGAAAAGAGAAGGGATATATAATATAGGGAAGAGGAGATAAATCGGCAGGAGCATGCGGCAACAGGAATGCTATATAGTGAATGGGGTCGCTGCCGTTAAAAGCGAGCTGAGCGCAGGCTTGCACTGCACGTCTGCTCGTGCTGCCCCGTACTTGACTTCCATTCACATTCTCCTTTTTTTTTATACAAGAGATATCAGCTATATAGCTTCGGCTAATTCGCCAAAGACAAGAGAGCGACGCTTCGCGCGCACGTATTCATTTTTTGCTCCCATAAATCTCAGATGCGGAACGGCTGCATGTGAGTGAGTGTGTGTGCCTGCGTTTGCGTGATTTATCTGTGCTGGATGGAATATTCGAATTCGCAATGGCGTTGCATGCAAACATTGCAACAAGTAGGTATGGCACGTAGTATATGCATGAAATCACGCGTATATCAAAGCTGACGGTAGAGTATATAGTTTCTTTATCCATTCGTCATGGTACGTATGATAATGTAGAAACTCCCGATAAATAAAATAGAAATTCCATTACAAGTGACATAACTGTAAGTAATAATGGGACAGCTCGGTTGACTTAAAATCAAATGAATTATAAATTGCCTATAAACTCAAAAAAGTGTTAAAGAAGATGACGATATTGAAATAAAAAAGTTTCATTACTTTTTCGTTGGTCGGTAACTATCCTTCCGTTGATGAGCTTATCCTTTCAGCCGGCGAAACAGATTTCTCTAAGATATTATGGTACTTTCATATTTTCTTTTTCGATAGAGGTCGATATAGCGAGTAGTAAAATTCATGCATTTACATATAACAAAATGTAAGAAGTTCCAATTCGAAATTTGAAAAAATGGACCTTAGAGGCTGGCCAATTCAAATTTTTCATTGCATTGAAATTCAATAACTTGATAAATAGCCCTAGTAGAAATTCTTAATATTAATTATGTCCTGATGCCAAAAAAATTACCATTTGAATTTTTTATAATACATGACCATTAATTAGTTGGTTTTTGTCGATTTTTCTGTTAAAGTTACATTTAAAAAATAAAGCGCGTTTTAAATGACCTGAAAATGACAAATCATATGTGTTGAAAAATTTAAACTAATTTTCAACCCCTTTAAATTCGGTAATATCATTTTCAGACTCTACCACTAGATGTCGAGTATTAATATCTGTAAATCAGCAAGTGACAAAGTAAAAATGATTGTATAAGTCAAAATAAGGTTTTTAAAAAATTAAATTACTAGTTGATTTGTTTTGTTTGGATTTTTGAGTACGATTTCCGTTGGTAAGATGTTATCATTTTCCTCGCTATCTTCGATTATTATAATCGTCGTTATGCTCCGCCATTATTTTCTCTTGTTGGTTACGGAAGAAATGTTGCTTGCTGGGAGGTTCGCACTTGAATGCACAAAATGTGGGACATAATAAGGCTATAAAATTTTGAAAAAAAACGTTATATCTTGGCCTAGTGTACGTCCAGTCATTTAAACTAGTCATTTCTAAGCAAAAATGTTACATTTGTATAAAAATCAACTCAAAAATATTTTGGAACTAGCGCGAATTAATTTAAAATTACTTGATGCACAATCTCAACCATCGATCGTCCTTGAGATTAAATTACACTCTAGCAATGCTGATTCATCACGGATGAAAAACACTCTTGGCAACGAAGCACTGCACATGAAATACATGGAAAAAATCTATACCATCTAAAACCACCCGTCCGCTGCTTTTCTTTTTATTTTTCGAATTCAAAGACTAATCGGACTAATCGTCGACGATCTGGCCGCAACGTCCGACTGCAACCTATTCTTCAATACGGTATCTCTCGAGGCTCCGAGCACATAGTCGTCGAACGGACAATTTTCCTCGTCCTCCGCTTCGAGACAGTCGGCAATGCGATCGCACTGCATCTGAGGAGCTAAGCACTTGGCCTGCGGACGATTGCAGCTAAAGCCCGGACAGCTAGTTCTTGGATAGACCATAACGGGGGATTGTCGGGTGCCTGTTTAGAACGACGCGATACAGATGATTTTTCTGTAATTTGTGAGGGATATCTTATTTTAAAAGTATCGAAAAACTCACGAATGTGAAAATTTATCCAGGGTATGTAGTGAGAAACTTTGGTATAGGCACCAGGTTCGTTCGGTTTAGCACAACCGATGCCGTGACTTACAATGCCTCCTACGTACCATTCATCATCCGGCCCAGAGCCTCTCCTGCATAACGATAACATTGAAAAAAATTAACTTTATCCAATAGTTTCAAAGTCAACATAATTAATTGATTATATTACCGGCACATCAAAGGACCTCCGCTATCACCTTGACAAGCGTCTCGACCGCCAGCACGATAACCAGCACAAATTTCACCACTGTTGATATCTTCCGGGCGTTTACAGTTGACTATCGGAATTTCGACCTCTTTCAAATGATCAGCTGGAAAAACAGAATAATAGTACGGCAATTTATTATTACTTTCTCGGTTACGATGTCGCTGAGCTGTACCAAAGCTGTGCACTGTACAAAATCGATAAATTTCACTCACGCTCTCGACCGCCCTCGGAGAGAGTACCCCATCCCACTGCCACGCAAAGATCGCCGTGACTGGGTTCTTGGCGATAAAAGTACGTCTCGGGATTAGGCAGATTTACCGGCCTGACCCAGCTGTTGAACAACAGCGGCTCGTTAAGTAATCCGAGGGCTATATCGTTGCGCAAAAAGATTGGGTCGTACGCCTCGTGAAGTATTATACCGTCGAGACGACGAGTCTGGCGAGACGGCGCGAACGAAGAAAGTCGCAGCATGCCCGCCTCGATCTCGTAGTAGTTGCCCTCGTATCTACCGATTCGATGCACAAAAATTACATTAATTTTCCTTCTCGCTCTGTGTGTAAGTTTTTTCGCAAAAAAAAAAAAAATTTGACGTGAATGATATCCTCGTGAAAAAGAGTACAAAAAAAGTTGTATAACGCTCTGGCGCGTAACATCGTGAATTATATCGCTATCGTGAGCCACTCGACGCGTATAGGCACACTCTTATGTATTAAAGCTCGCGTGCCCGTAGTCCCCGCGAAATAAAACGATTACTCACCTGTAAAGACAATGAGCGGCGGTGAGTATCCAGTAGGCGCTGAGTATGGCGCCGCCACAATGGAAGCGTCCGTTTTTGCTCATGGCCACGATAAAGGGCCAAGCTCGGGGATAACTGTCGTGGCCACCGACGATGCCCAACACCGGATCATCGCTCTTGCCGGCTGATTGAGCCGTCAGTCCGAGAATTATCTCGCTGAAGTCGTTGATGCTCTGCAGCGCTGCGGCGCTGCCGCTAGCCACGTGACGATGGCCCGTTGGCTCGTGCTGGCAGCGCACGTAGGTCACTTGCGACGAGCAGCCGGTCACGAGTTTCGTCTCCGAGCCCAACTCCGTGGCGAACACCGTCGAGTCGCTGTAGGTGGGCAGATTCACCAGATCGACGATGGGCTGTTGGCTATTGAATAAAAATTATTGCTATTTAATGAGACGTACCGGGTGAGTTGATTAAAAGTAAACGAAGAAAAAAAACAAACTCTGATTGTCCGAGTTCATAAGTGCAGGCATCCTTCGCCCAATTAGTGACGGGACCGCAAACTGGATACCATTTGCCTTGGACGTTTCTGCGAAGAAATCCGAGATTGTAACCAATCGGAAATACCTGCTTGACATAGATTGAGTTTTGAATTGTATTTTCACTGATTTTTAAGACAATTTATTTTATTACCTCTGCGTCGTCCGAAGCAAAAGGAGTCAAAATAGTACAAAATTCTTCGTCCCTTCCGCTGACACAGTGTTTAATTCCGTCACAGCGTTGCTCGGCTGAAAAGCAACTGAGAGAGTCTGAATTGAAATCTAGACAACTGAAGGAATGTCTGGAGCAACCTGAAATTTGATTGTGCGAGTGAAAATTATCCTTTGCTTGTTTGTTTAAAAAAAATCATTACCGTAACACCCCATTTCGTCTTCTCCATGAGGACAGTCGAAATAATTATCGCATAGTCGTTTTCGATCGATCCGATCTCTGCAAGTGCATTTTATTTCGTCGCTAGCATCGGCACAGTCGACAACTCCGTCGCACCACACGTTTCTTGGCACACATTGCGCACTTCCTCGACATTTATAAAAATTTAATGGACATTCACTTGTGGGAGCTAAAAAATTATTCATTTAAATAAATTGTTAAAGAATCGTGTTCAAAAATTTTAATACGCAAAGAAAACCTTTCGACATTGCTTCGTAAGGATTTAATTGGTCCAGCTTGTTGTTAAGTCCCTCGACATCTCGACTCATGCTTTGACCAAAAGCTGCCTGATAGTAGTCAGCGAACCAAGGCATCATGGGTACTTGATAGGTAGGTGGCACTGGTACATAAGTGCAATAATACCCCGGTGGTGTCTGTGCCCAGCTTGATTGGCTAATTGGGGATGCATCTCTTGTCGCCAACCGACGATTGCCATCGGATCCTCGTGGATTACAATTCAGGGCAAATACAGCTGTAGCGCGTGTAACAGCAAATTCAGAAGTGTTTGCCACGTTTGATGAGGTTGATAATAGAATTGAAAATTTTATTCGATTTTTAATTTTATGCAAAAGATGTATCATACCTTGTGGCAAGAGCCAAGGATTGATTGGTAACTGCTGGCTCCTTTTTTGTACAGCTGATAGAGATGTTTTTTCATCACCATTAACCGTTGAAGGTTTTATATGGGCCGATGAAGACAAGGCGGATGGATTAATCGGGCGGAGCAAAATCGATGTATTTGCCCACCTGTTTGATTCTTGTCGTTCATTTTGTAAATTGCTGGTAGTTATACTGTCGTCTACACGAAAAAATTTTAGTTTTACACCCAAACTTTGTAGCACAATGTTAGCCAATATCATCGAAACTAGGATACTTACTAGGCTGAACGTATATTGAATTAACTAATTTGAAGCAACACAAAAAGCACATCCAATATAACCAAAAACCAAAAAAAACCTTTAATATTTTCATTATGCTCAAAACTTGAAGTGATACGTTTCGATGCGATTTCAATACAAGTCGAAGTAATACTGCAATATTTTTATTGCGTTTTCATTTTGAGTGTCAATGAATCAATCAAATGCCAGCATAAGCAAAATTTATTGGACGGACGCTATTTGAAAATTTCGAAATACATTAAGGAATTTATTAATAAAATTCGAGCTATTGAATTCGAGGCAAAAAGTGTTAATTTAGCAAAAATTACACTTTCAAAAAATAAAAAAAAAGAGTATTTAAAGCCGTACTTTGTTTACCGTATGTTTGAAGGACACTGTAGCATTTGAGAGAAAGAGGGTATCGTGCTTTATGTATTTGATAGTTATTTCACGTTAAAACACATCGAATCAATCTCGAAAAATCGATATCTCTCATGTTTCGCATCCTAATCCAATTTGCCACATAAGCTAATGACCAGTCGCATAAGCTCAAGAATTTCGTATATATGTATGGCGCTTAAACATGACATTAATAATTGTGCAATAGTCACGGGAGCAAGCAGCTTCTCTTGTACATACTTTCTCCAAACCCCCCGCGCGCGCACTGCATATGTAATGTTACACTCGCGGAGCAAGGACTATTATACACGAGCGGTCGGGCGAGTTCTTCCAGTCTTGGCATTAATCAGCGAGCGCCTGCGATAAGGCTGCAGAGCGCACGCACGTGTATTTTGCGCGCGCTCCAATTGGTGTGTGCGTGTGTGTGCAATCAAGAGAGCTTCAACGGATACGAGCCAACGACTTGGCTGAGTAATTTTTTTTTCTCTCTCTCTTTTTTTTTGGTTTTGCTCTTGTTACCCGATATACGCTACGCCAACGTCGAGGAAGAAAAGTATTCGCGAAAGTGCCGCGTCCATCGGGAATGTATATTCGCGCTTATAAGTTATATTCGTTTCGCGCGCGCACGCGTTACGCAAGCTCGCAAGTATACGCGCGTGGACGTGTACGCGTTCACGTCTACGGGGGATTTATTCTTAATTTTATGAAAAATCTGAGTATCTATACATTTTTTCGCATTTTCTTTCAAAGTACAAAACTGCCTTCGGTAATTATTTCTTTAAAAAATTTACTCAAAACATCGAATATGTTGATTTGTCGGAGTACTCGTGAAATAAATTCTTTATTTCAAAGAAAAACAAAAAAACTTGAACAAAATAGCACGAAAAAATTAAAATCCAATCAAGCTAACAATTAAATTAAGAATGTAATTGTAAAAAATTCCACTAATAAATCAACGTCCAAGCAAATTAACAGTTTAATCATAAAACGCAAACATTGTAGATGGGAAAAATTTGAATAAAATTTCAAAAATAAAATTCAATCAAGGAAAAGGACTGAAGGTTCACTTGTGGTACAATTCATATACAATCGTATCATCTAACCACCAGAAACTATGCAAATTAATTTGTTTTGTGAAAATATTTCCTAGTCCGAGAAATACAGTTTTTGAGTATTGAGTATTTTTACCAGATTACTTTCAAAATTATTTTGATACTTATGAAAATATCTATGTGAAGATTACTTACTGACAAAGCATTATTTTTCATCTGAATTAATCTCTACAACATTCTGTGAGTAAAACTACTCTTGTGAAAATGATTTGCATATCTAAGAGAAACAACAGGTGCACAAAATACTCTCCAGGTTCTGTGACTACATAGCGATTTCAGTTCACGTAGTTGCTTCCTTGTAGGAAGGTTTAATGCACGACAAAGTAAAGATACAACATGCAATAATAAATGAAGTGCACAAATCAAGGCCAACCGTAGCCGTGGTCATTGTTGAATGTCAAGTTCGAGTGTCAAAGGAAGCGGCTTTATTCCCGGAAATTTTATCTGAATTGTCACAGTGATGCGAAATGCTTTTGTCATAAATCATAAATGTATTTGCAAGCTTGGTTGAAAATGAAAAAGTTCAATTTGCTCTTGTAATAATGTGCGATGTGTAACTACGAATTTCGAGTACGTGCGAGGTGATGGACAAGATTTCTTTACATCCTTAGCTACGTTCTGTCAGTGCTAAATACATAATCTTTATCTGTCATCCGTGTCTGGCCCGAGGAAATAAGTCTAATGCAAATGTCACAATTTCAAGAGTAAATTTCGTCTTTGACCGTGCCACTGAAAAGCGTAAGGTTTCAGCAAAAGTGAAAGCGATCTTCTTTACATTGAAAAATGATGTAATTTATTTAGTAGCTGTATGCAAGAATTTTTTTTCAAAAATCGCGATTCATTGTGATTATGTGAGGAGTTACCAATTATTGTTTCATAAGAGAAACACTTTCCTTAAAAATGAGCTAATAAAGTGTTTCTACACGGGCGTATAATCACCGCTGTCATATGGTTCACAATCGATCGTGTATTACAAAATTAATAAACTTGATAAATTAATCATTTATTTATTACATCGGAGAATCTTCTAGTAATACTTGGAGAGAGAAACGCGGTGATATCCCACCCCAGATGTCCACGGTATACTTTTAACGACAGCCGCAAGGAACTGTACCGCGCATCGTGAGGTATTAAGGAGGCTGTAGCGAAAGTGAAAAAAACTTTAGATGGAAGTAAAAATTTAACCGATGATAGCTTATGAAATTAAAAGATTTTTGGTATAAAAAATTTGGGGTTTTCGTGCAAACTTGGGAAATAATGAGATTCAAAGTTTTGGACATTTAACATTAGATCTTAAGGGAAGTGGCAGTTTTTCGTGTACTGTTAGCTGAAATCACTTTACAAGTTGATGAAATTAATATATATTATAGGCTTAATTGCTTTCGAATGATATAGTTATAAATTTAAATAAGATTTGACTATTTATTTTTTCTCTTTGAATGTGTGAGCCGACCCCAAAAAATTTTAACAACTATGAACGACACGTATTTCGATGCATAATTTTACCACCTTTCAGAATCCGTTGATTAATTTTTTAATCAATTAAATGCAACACTGGTTGGAAGTATTCCATGAACATCTGGGGTGGAATATAACCGCGTTATTTCTCCCCGAGTAGGTAGAGAATCTTCTTCATCGATCCTCCTGTTTTTACTCAATACTGACGAAGTGTTGACATATATTGAAAAACAAGTGCCAATTATTCTTCATACTCTTTTAACACAATGCATTATTACTTTTCTTTGCTATAATAATCTGCATGATAGCAACAATAACTTAACTAAATGAATCTTAATCGAAGCATTATTAGTGATAATTAATAATGAATTCATTGTTACCTGAAAAGAACAAGTAAATTAAATAGCGTTGGCGCGATGAATAATATTATAATACCGATCTTTCCGCTACGTGACCGGCATCATGAAGAGTCGGTTTCAAAAAATTATTCTTGCGAATACAAGAAGATATAAAGCCTCATTCATCAGTCTCAAAAGAAGTGTAGAGCTCAGTAAAAAAACCTCTGTACGAAATAATTGTTAAGCATTGCTATTTCAGCGAACATTTAAAATGCCGAAAAGTCGTAAACTTTGAGTACGTTCCTCAAAAGCTCCAATAAATCACGAGTTACGCCAAAAAAACGTTAGAGCATCGCTCGCATAACGACTATCAGGATACGAGATATGTTGATCGCGCGCATCCGTGGAGTATAGATTACAGCCTGCTATACAATAAGTATGCTCATGCAACGCACACACGCATATACAATATAAGGCGTGTTTTGTGCTGCACGCATAGTTTGAAGTGACGTCAGGCACAGCTGTGTAACTGCGGGCGCTTTTGCGAGTGCGAGTGCGAGAGACATAGAGAAGTCGCAGCGAACACGAAGAGAGCACGAGCCTGGCCAGAGTTGACAGGCACCGGAACGCACACGCAGAGTATATATACAGAGAGACACCAACAACCAAATATATACTGCGTACGCGAGCGAGAAAAGCCTGGCTGATTCCGCTTACTACCGCGTGCGCCTATAATGCGTGTGTATATGTGTAGTGTGTACATGCTGCCTACACATGCGACTTCGCCGCATCACGTCAGTCGATCAGCGGAGAAAGGAGAGCCAAGAAGTCGTCTGTGCTTGCGTGATATTTTTGTGCTGTTCCCGTGTGATTGTAAAAAACTTCAAAAAAGTTCATTCTGCAGTATATAGTAGGTAAACACTCGTTAAGTGTCTGTGTAAAGTCCACCTGATGATATATAACAAGAGGATCACGTGCTGAATTGTGCGCTGTTGTACTATTATAAACAAATGTTACAGTGTCGATAGTGAACGGACCGGTTGGCATGCACTGCATATTTTTATTATTCTAATAACAGGGCAAATTTTTCGAATTGTTTCACGGCATCATTTGTCCAAACCGCGCAATTTCTAACCCGCCTTAAAAGTTTACGTATGAGTGTCGTAAAATACTGACTCATGGATTCGATAGGAAATTTTCTTAGTTTTCGGATGGTGACAACAAATTTAACGAAATTATTGGAATATTTGACTTTATTATGAAAAAACTAAAAAAAAAAACGATAGAACCATAGTTTTAGTTTATTTTTTTTCGAATCTAATTACAATGTTGTAAGTGCGAGATACGATCATAGCGTGCAACGCTGAAAACGGCGCGGCCTTGGTGGTCAACCGGCCGAGCACTTACTTTAGTCTTTCGTATTTTCAATACTTTTCAACAATAATAAACTCTGTAAAATATACATTACTCGAGGTGAAAACTATTTATTTTTCGATTGGGACAATAAAAAAAACTAAAAAGTGGCCTTTTTTAAGGTATGGAGCTCTGAAAGTTTCTTAGCTATTTTACCAGTGAAAATTGAAAATTTCAAAAAATATGATGCCATCATTGGAAAGCTGAAAAAATTTCCTTTTGAAGTCATTGGTTAGTTATTTTTTATAGGTGTGTTTTGATACTTTTGGTATCAATTAAAAATTTAGTGATTTGGCCAATAATACCGGGCGGCAAACCACTATAACAGTTAAAAAAATTTTATTTAGTTTCATAATACTATGTAAATGTGCATATGACCAAAATGTAGAGTGCATTACAATGCGGATTCGATACAATTCGATGATTGGTAGATTGCGCGGAATTATTTTGTTTTTGTACTCGTGCAATAACCCTTAGATACAGAGTGTAACGTACAATGTATCAAGCTTTGACGCTGCATCATGTGTAGAGTGAAATAGTTTCCTTGTCAAGCGCACTTAAGCCGAAAAAAGATCGAATAAAAATAGGTACATCGTTTCGAGGAAATTCATGGATGATTTTTTTTCTGTCTGTACGTGTTATTCCCTTCGCCGATCTCAAAATGAGCTCATTTAGGATGATAGTATTAACTTTACGCCGGGGTTGGTCGGTGACTTAAGGTGGTATAAAACTATTAATCCGATGTTTTTAAACATAAAATTTTGATCAGATAATCAATAAAGTCAATAAAGTCGATAAAGTCATTTTGAACCAGATAATCCCAGAATCTAAAGGATAATTATATTAACTACTCATGCAATGTGAATATAAGCCCTCACTTTTAGAGTGGCTTTTTTCAATATTATTGCATATCTATTTAAACTAAATAAGATTAAATTTTGATACCTCAAGAAAACCATGAGTCAAAAACTTTTTTGAAATTACATTACAATTTGAGTAAATTATTTTACTGAACATCTTTCTGTATGCCACAAAAAGCCATTGTGTTAGAGGTAACATTTGTTTGCTCGCAAAGTTCCTTTGTTCGATCATCGGTTACTCGTCACATTTACGTTTGCATTGTGGATTAATGATGAACGTATACATATCTGCGACAGGCTCGAGTAACGCACACCATTCTCAATAAACGAGCGATTTCGAATACGAATCTAATGTGATAACAGCGGTCAAATAGTGGCGTCATCGCATTTATAAGCAATCCTACGTTCACATTGTTTATAATTTTTCTCGCTGGACATTGAAAAAATAAATAAAATAACCTCAACCAACGCTCAGTGATTTTTTTTACTTTTCGCAGATCTGACTCGCATACATCTTTGCGATCGATCGAGCAAGGACAACGAGTCTCTCAACTTTCTTTAGCTACGCCGAGCATATCGCCTAGATACAGAGAGCTGTACACCCAACGAGATCCAGTGGAAGTGTATTTACCGGCCGAACTCGCAAAAGCACGCGCTCACGCGCGCGCAGGAAAATCGCAGTCTCGCCGAGTGAGATAACAGCAAACTCTGGCATAGTAATCAGCTGAGAAAGATCGGTCAACAAATGACGACGACAACGGACGACGACGTTCTGATGTCGAGACATTGAGAAATACACTTGGCAAATTGTAAGTATATGCTCACCGGCTTACATCGTAGTAGACTAGTTGACGCTAAGATATCGCGACAGCTGCACACGTGAAAGAGGAGAGGGAGAAAGCGGCTCTCAATGATAAACAAAGTTGGGCCAGCGCGCAAGCATATTCCGGATGCTGATATTGTTGTAGGTATTGTTCCTCGCGTATCGATTTCAATTTTCGGCGTTTGTTATTGTCATATATGTGCAGCCAATCTCACGAACGCGATACCGTTCAGTTTTTTTTTTCATTTTTCGTTTCTTTTGAATGTGAAGAAAAAAGATTGAAAAACACGCGACTGAGTTGGAAAAGACCAAAATAACTATTGACACTGTGTGGTTTCCAGTGAGAATATTAATGAGCTAAAAGCATCTTTACGTATGTACTTTTTCATCTTAACTGAATGCATTATTGTACCGAGCATAAATTGAAAATTTATCTTGAAATTTTCAATAGCTGCCGTAACTTTCGGTTTAAAGATGATTGAAAATTCAATTAATTTTTCTTGGGTATGCGCTGTTTCAAATACGTGAAAAATTCCAAATGGTCTTGACTCATGAGCCATGCAACTGCGTATGTTTACCATTGTTATTGTTATGAAATCCAATTTTCTCGAATGAATTGATAAAAATAAAATGTACGGATATTCAAGTGTATTGATATTAATATTATTGCTGAAAAAAAAACTAGAAATTTTTAGATAATATATAAATAAATTACTATTTTGAATTTCAAAACTCGTGATGTGTTTAAGATTGATGAATCGTTAATAGGTGGCGAACGAGGATTTTTTAAAGCAAAACTCACAAGTGACAAGATCATTTGAAATTACTATATGGATGAATTTTTACCCAACCCCTCTAGGAGATTACTTCAAGGTTTCCTTCAATGGAAAATTATGGTTCAAGCAATCATGTATTTAACTTGGTACATCATTTTTTTTACTTCTGTTTCGTCAAAGAAAAAAAATTCATTTATCTAGTTCGTCAAGTTTTTCTTCGATCAATATTTGAAGATCCTTGAGTAGTATGCAGGATCTCTGCTTACCATATAACGGATACTTGAATTTTGGCCGAGGGTAACGATAGAAATATGATTCAGTTGGAAACAATACTTAATTATCTAAGGTCCTCGAGACAAGCGTCACTCGTGTGACTACAAAGTCGTTCGGTGTTGATGATATCGTTGAAATGAGAAAAATCGAAGAGAGATGTGTAAATAATTATCAGAAGTATTAATAGTATTTTCGTCTTTTGTTCTCTGCATCATCGAAACATGTGCCACGAGAGTCCCAAAAAATGTGGCGCCACAATATTTTCAACTTTTTTGCATTCTCATTGCGTGTCAATAAAGGAAAAAACATCATTACAAAATACAGACTCATAATGACCTCAGCTGCACCTGCTGCTATTTATTTTTTCTGCAATGACTGCATTATGCAATTATTCATATTTTCTTAGATTTTATTGCATAGTGAGTCGTGTGCCGCCGGTAGTAAGCTTGAGAAATTTAATCTTAATACACTCCGATTAGATGTGTGTCACCTTGGTATGATCGTTCGACGATGCGATCTATCAATGGATTTATTCAATCATTATGCGAGCAAAACGTTCTATTTTAACAGGTTAATTGCACCATTACAATCACGAATTAGCGATAATAATAGCGTGATAAACTTTTCTTTATCTATAAGTTGATAATGAGCTTCATCAGCGTTTTACATCTATATATAATCTTAAGTTACGATAAAATATAATCCATTTCCTCCCAAAACAAATTCGAGGCCGTCCTAAAATCAAAGCGATTAACCATTCTGCGTTGAATTTTGTTGTGATACCTTTCAGTCGCTGAGAGAACAAATGACCGGACAGGATGAATTCTTTGAAACTACCGCAACTGCAACTAAGCTCCTCTCGCACTAAGTGGGGTCTAATACTTCTGTTAATTGGGGTGCTCGCGCCAACCGCAAGCTCGTTATACAATGTCGGTGTTGGTATTGCGGACACGACCGGACCCGTGGCCGAAGTTGTCTTTGTAAGTTATCCGCCAATTATTGATTTCGGAATAATTTTATTTTATTGCTGCAAGCCGATTGTTTGAAAATTATGTTTATCTTAGTTATTAGTGTTTTAAATACATATTAGTACGTTCAATTACCGTACAAAATTAATTTTTTAAACTTGTTTGGTACATTTTCAACTTCGTTATTACTTTTAGATGGGCTATGCTCAAATGGGTCAAAAAGGCTCGGGAGTTCACTTACGCACATTCGCCAGATCATTCATCATCGATGATGATGTACAAAGGTTTGTCTTCGTTTCCGTTGACAGCGCTATGGTGGGTCACGGAGCAAAAAATGCGGTGAGTTTTTTGACGAGTTCTCTTGGAAAACCTTTTTTTTTCAAAGTAAAAATTGTAAATTTGATTGATTCGATTTTAAATTTTTGTTGTTGCATTTTGCAGGTGATTCGTAACTTGGAAGCAATTTACGGCAATTTATACCGCGAAGACAATGTCATGATCAGTGCCACACACACTCATTCTAGTCCAGGAGGTTTTATGATGGATGTTCTTTTTGATATTTCTACGTATGGTTTTATCAAGGAATCGTTTACAGCCCTAGTCAATGGCATAACAAAGGTAGGGATCAAACAATTCAAAATGTGCGAGAGTTACCTTTGACTGTATTACTAGAAGTTGATGTAACGACAGTTTTAATTTTGATTTTCAGAGTATACAAAGAGCGCACGACTCCATTGTGCCCGGTAAAATATTTATAACTCACGGCGAGGTGTTGGAAGCCAACATCAACAGAAGCCCCTTCGCTTACCTCAATAATCCCAAAGAAGAAAGAGACAAGTAGGTCTTGAGTTTTCTAGTGAAAATGTATGAACTTGCACTGAAATATTGTCTGTACAGATACAAATACGATGTTGACAAGGGCTTGACGCAGATGCAATTCATCGCAGCGACCGGAGAGCCGCTTGGCGTTATTAACTGGTTCGCCGTTCATCCGACTAGTATGAATAATACAAACCATCTAGTATCGAGCGATAACGTCGGTTACGCATCGGTTCTCTTTGAAAAGAGAATGAACAAAAATGCTTTGGTCGGCAAGGTGAAACATTTTACGATACAATACGTAATTATGAAACGAACAGTAAAAAAGTAGTACTACTATCACATGAATTAATAGAACGTATCCGTCAAATATTTTCATTGTTCGAAAGCTTGCTTAAAAATTCAATTAACAGTCGTTATATGCTATATAATCTTCGTACGCATTCGGGCACCTGTTAACTACAGTCGAACTTGCTTTGGTGCGTGGTGGGTTGCATACACGCTAAGAGAATCAATGTAGACTAAATATCCTTACTTGATTTTAATTAAATATTCAAACGTGACGGAATATTGCGTAACGTGAAATTATTCAAGTTGTTGTTCTGAGAAATTCAGATAGTTAATTGATTTCTGCTAATGATTTCTATTTTGCTAACTGAGTGAATATCTAAATATTTGTCCTTTCGTCATTATAATCTATACTTATTGACTCGTTTCTGGGAATTTAGGGCAAATTTGTCGCTGCTTTCGCATCTACGAACTTGGGGGATGTGTCACCAAACACACGCGGACCTAAATGTGAATTCTCAGGAAAGGCTTGTTCCGACAAGTACACTTGTCCAGGCAAGAAAGAGATGTGCTTCGCATCTGGACCTGGAAAAGACATGTTTGACAGTACGAAAATTATTGCAAACAAAATCTTCGACGAAGCATGGGTAAGTTTTTTTGATTTTTTGAACATTTTTTTAATCAAAATATTTGTAATTATTGGCATTTTTCTTCGCCGTTGGATCACAAAATAAGCCGTAAGTTATAGCAAACTCGATTAATCTTCATTTTAATTGAAAATACATGCATCGGGATGTTCCATTAATGAATATTTATTTAGAAGGTATGATAAATATTCCCAAAATAAATCTTGAGTATTTAACTACCTCTAGAGTATTAATTAATATATATTACCTTTTAATTCAGATATCCCATTGATCGATTGTTAGATTATTTATTTCACTCTAAAAAAACCGTTTATTTACATTAAAAAGATTGCACGATAGCCTAGTATTTATGGTCAATTTATGAAATGAAGTGATGTAGCGAAAAAACGAAATATCTATATAAAGTGGTAACAAAGCACTCGAACAATATAATTTTGCTATCTTGCATAACTAACACATTATAACTCTTAAATACCCATGATATGATTTTAGTAGATTTTCGTAGATAAGCTAAGAACATGATGTTTTAATCCCAAAATTACGTAATGACAAAGTGAAAAAAACTTTATGATTGATAATAAGTGAGCTATTTTTTTTTTCTCATAGACCTTGCCTCGTTATGATGGCCATTAAGTGAATCGTTTTGTATTTAGCACGCGAATCTTCTAATTATCGTTTTCAAGTGCGAAGATAAACGTTCTTGGTTTTGTTGATGTTGTTGTTGAGATATATTCATACAACTAAACTAAAAATCATATCTGTATAAAAGTGTTTTATTCAATTCGATGTAAAATAGAATACAGAATCTGTACCGCTGGCAACGAATGGCTTGATCGCTTTGGCTATACATACAAAATACAGGATAAAAAATAATACTTTGCGTTGATAATCTCGTCCACGTGTATAATATATACTCATATAGTGCATCGTCGCTAGTTATTTGAAAACACGGCAATATCAATCTGCCGCTACGTTACGAGAGCGAGGTCGAGCGAGCTTCGCACCGCCGCGTTGTGCGTTGTGCATATAATCGTGGTGTGCCCGCGTCGTCGTCGTCGTCGTCTCACTTTCTGTCGTATCCATGGCCGATTCCATAGCCGTAGCCGTGAGCGGGTGACGCCACCACGGGATGAATAAGAGACTGATGAACGGGCGCGGCGGCTACGACGTGGCCTGCAGCGTGATGATGGACGGGCGCAGGATGCACCGCGTGCCCGATCTTTTTCACCACGGCTTGGAAGCCATTGTGATCGTCGGCCGTGTATTCGACCACGCGGATGGTGCCGTCGGGCTCGTTGACCGAGTAAGATCCCTTGACTACGTCGCCGTCTCGCTCCTCGTGGGCGGATTTCACGTCACCGGTGTGGGGGTCGCTCACTCCGTAATTGTAAGCGTATTTCGGGTAGGCCTGCAAAATTTATACATACATTCGTTTTCAATATTGAATAATTAACTACTCACTTTGATGAAAAAAAAATTTTTTTAAATCTCATCAGTGCGCATTTTCAAAATTGACTGATTAAATCATCGCAAATATTCGAATAAAATGCGTTGATGCGAAAGCTTTATTTCCGTTATTGGGCTCTGAATTTAAAAAATAACTCAAAATTGCATTTCATTGACATTAAGCTTATTTTTCAATTTACAATTGATAAAAAATTAAAAAATCTCCAATAACCTTTGAGCAAATACTTTTAAAAGCTTTAAATCTGCTCGAAATTCTTTGATTTATCAACAAAAAAAGAAAGAGCAATGGTAGAATAGTTTTAACGAATGCGCGAGAATATATTCGGCGTTCTATTAAAAAAAATTTTAACTCGGAGTCACTTCAGTGAACCGAAGCGATGAAGAAACCTTTGCGCAATAATAAAATCGCAATTATAATAAACCGTGTGGTCTCGCGATGGAGTGACTATTAATTTTAAAATAATATTACTGCTGCATGTACATCTAACTTGGAATTTCCCAACGACGAATGACCCATAAGCTCTATGGCCTCTCACATGCATCAGAGAGTATACAATTGTCGCGAGGCGCGCGCGATTACAATATCCTTGCCAGCAGAATCCGATCCTTTAATTAAGAATTGCCCCGCGGTACACCCACTCTTTTCGAGTACATAATAAAGCGTTTTGCAAAACGAATTTAGCGTATTCATGCAGTTCGACTATTTTGTGTACAGGTCACACGGAGCCAGACACAACCGACGAAAATCGACTTTCGATTCCTATCGTAAGATCTCGTATTCGAAAAGAAATTAAATAAAAAGTGTACGCGCGAAAATGAGTAATTTATCAAATGCGATATCGCGTCGAGCTTTTACACGAAGACGTTTGATAAATGCGAAAATTGTTATCGCGAACGTTTTCACGCTAAGTTAAGCAGCGCATCAGCGCGTCGGGAAAATCTCGCATACTCATCTTTCCTTTCTCGCACGAGCCCCGCGTGCGCAGGATCTTTTTATGCGATTGTACGCCGTAAGAAAAGCTAAAAGCGCACTGCTACTGCTACTCACGTAAGTGTCTTCGTGATGGCCGTCGCCGTCGCCGACGTGATGATGAGCCTCGCCATGAAGAGCGGCAACTTCGCTGGGATGATGTCCGTGATGATAGACGCCATTTAGCCCTCCGATGTAGCCGGTCGGGTGGTACTGCTGCAGTCCGTAGCCCGAGCCGGCGTTCAGGGAATTGCCGTAGACTTGGTGCAGCGCCGGCTGATGATGTTGATAATGATCCCCGATGCCCAAGACGGGGGTCACGACGGGACCCTCCTTGACCAGGCCGTGATGGTAGCCCGAGTTCTCGAGATAGCCCGCGCCGCCGTCGTAGGAAACGACTGGCACCGTTCCAGCCCAGGCGCACGACAAAATCGTCGTCAAAATAAGTCCACTCTGCAATTTTTGCGAGCGCACGTGATGACGTGAGGTGAATTTACTACTACTACGGGCTTTTTTCTAACGCTATCTCGCGGCAGGAAAAAAATGGCTAGGACGGATTTTCGTATGCAAAGTTCATACTCCTGCATGCGCGGATACTCGAGGATCGTGGTCAGAAGTTTTTATAGCTAATAATGACAATACGAATTTTTATTGCAACGAGCCCTGCGCGCGCGGTAGGGCAATGAACTTTTCACTGTCTATGTCGCGCAGTGTATTTGCAAAATATCCCCCACACATTAGCCATTTAAAGTGCGGCAAAGTTCATTTTAACTTATTCATTGTATCGAAGGTGTGAAAAACAGTTGAACTTTTAATGAGCAATTTCGACAAAACGCGTTTGTATCGTTTGACACTTTTGAAAAGTTGTTTCAAAAAGTCTTTGATGATTTACACATATTAATAATGTATCAAATAGAAAAATCACACTTCGTTAAAAAATTTAATTTTAGAAAAAATACATCAAACTACCCCCTTTAAACTGTTGTTTTCGAAAAAGTGTATATATTCGAACGTACCTCGGCAAACATGTTGAATGCAGTATTGATGCCTTTATTTATTATTTATAACACTTTACACAAAACAACGTCAGCAATGCGTTTGCGAAATGAACAAATACAATAAGTAATCTCGCGTAACAGTCAGGCACAAATGACGAACTGATAATGAACGTCTTGTCGTGGCCGGCCAGTCCTTTTATATATAGCGCAGTAGTAGCAGTAGTCCACGCGATGAAGTCGCGGGGCGTGTGTCGGTCAGTTATAGTTCTGTCTATCATTCCTTCCTCCGTCATGGATTTGCCATCTCACACATACATACACACTCCTACAACAACAGAGCATAGGCGCGCGCGCGACACCACTCCGCGCAGGGAAGTTGTGTAATTCAAGGTTTCATTGGACTCTGCACGAGCGCGGCTTGGCATGGCTTTTTTTTGTACTCCTTCGTCTTTTAAATATAGGTAACATCAAGCGCGGGATGTTTATGTCTATTATACGCGTATACACCTGTAATATTGCCAAATAACCCAACGTATCGCGAACTCGCGAGGCACAAGGACGTGGCGGAAGTGTTTTATTATATCGAAGCTCGCGCGCGCAATGGAATGGGAGCAAAGTGCGCGACGTGATAAAAGATGGATGAAAAAAAAAACAACGACGGTGTTCGTACTTACATACTCGCCGAGAGGAAAAAAAATAGAGCAGTGACTTGGTAATGCTCGAGCACATGCGCGCATACACATTCGTGCGTCCGAGAGCGTTCGACCATAAATGCACTTATGATCCCGAGCTTTAGTGTCACCCTCTCTCGCGCATGCACTGCGCTACAGCCTGCGACATCGACTACATAATAATTTTTAGATATGAAGCTTGGCACTGCTGCACCGAGAAACGGAGATCTTTATACCCTTAGTTAGTGTTTTAACGCGAAAAAGTATCGGGTATGGTATGAGAGTTAAATATTTTGGTTTATATCGTGTCATGGTTTTTTAATTGGACAAAAGTGCACGAAGCTCTCAGTAGTTTGTAAAAAGCTCGCGTGCCGTGAAAAATATTTACATGAAAAATGGTAACTAATCTTTTGATTTTTCATTTTTTTTTTTCGTGCAAACCTTTTACATCATCCAGAGAAAAAAAACGAATGCACTGTTACGCAGTGGTATAAAGAGAGAAAAATTACGTTAGAAGCTAATAATTAGTGCAAATACTGCTCGCTATATTGATGCTAGGCACGGGAAAATGATTCTTAACGCGCTAAACGTTTATTCGAAGGTGCATCGCATTGTGGTGCAGCTAAAAAAAAATGCTTAGCGAGATGAAGACGCATATCCGTAGCAAATCGTTCGACCGTGTAATAGGGTAACGATATATCGTCAGCCCAGTCACACTGTGAGCTCTCTGGCCTGTATAAACAATCTATGTACAAATGCCAGAGATGAATGGAAGGCCCGTAGCAACGAAACCTCGCAGAAAGACTATTTTTACATCTTAATTATTATTTTTTTTTGCGCGCACGAATGACTCAAGTCTATGTTATGAACCATGAGAACTATCCTATGCGCGGTGCACAACAGTACATGCGTTGCTGGGCGTCGGATTGTACGAGTTTTACGACACACAGGCAGTCAGTTATCGACGCCTCGTTGCGCTCGCGCGCAGTCTGCCGCTGCTCATGCCGTCGCCGCCGCCGCTGCGGCCAGTAACCGCGGCGATTGTGTCGACGAAGGCGAGGTGAGAAAAGTAAAAGAATATAAAAAAAAAAGGAAAAAAAGAGAGCGAATGAGTGTCAAGGCGCTGGGTCAGGGGTTTCCGTCATCGCGTCTAGCCGATTTGCAAAAGACATGCAGATATATAAGCCATCGATTTGCTATAAACCCTTGTCGTAAAAAAATATGTTTCATTCTGTTGAAATGATTTCGACATTTTTATCTATGGCGCGGAGAACGAAGGCATGGCGGTAGACGCACGATATCCCTCAGCCCTCTTGTCGACGTACTTAACTTACGTCAGAGGAGATATAAATTGGCACTTAACTTTCGATGCAGCGAATACGCGTTTTGATGATACGGTAGAAAATGGAATTATTATTGATTCTCGCTCGCGGTGTTGAGCTCATTTCGCTTCACACGGTTATTAGTTCCGAATGTCATTTTTTACAACCTCTGCACTTTATTGTTCGGTGGAAACGAATACTGTGTGTTTATAATGTGTATGAATTACAATATGTATTGTAAGCGGTACAAAATTGCTAGTCATCATCTTCTAGTTGTAAAAATATGTGATGATTGATATTAGCACTTGAATGAATAAATCCTACTTGACACTATTGTGCTACTGAAAATATTTCTCCGTAATCTTGACGTATTATTTACAAGCGGTAACTTTTGATGGTTTCGAAGTGTACCGAGTAACTATTACAATAATCTTTTTTTCTAGAGTGAAGCAATTAAAAACTTGCATTAAGATTTTACTCTTATTTTAAAGATCAAAATTTAAGATACGTAAAACAACTTTATTAATCTAAATTTTTCTTGAATTATTTTGCACTCCAGATAGAAAACAGTTATCAGTATTTTTTTTTTATTTAAATCATAGTGTTAATAATAATCAGCTATTTATTTTTGTTATCACAATTATAATTTCACGTCCACCCTCGACTTTCAATAGTAGACATGTCTGTTGTTATGTCCAAACTTGTTGTAATAGGAGTGTCTGGATAATCCACCAAATCCACTTCCGTAAGCATAATAGTTATTGAAACTGCGGGGTATGTAGCCTTCACTAAATTCACTCAAGTATTCATTCTGACCAATGTCGTCATCGTATTCGCTAGATTCGTAACCATATCCAAGACCATACTGTGGTTTTACCTTAGAAATAACAGAAAATACCATTTAGTGAAATTTTATCAACAAGTCTTTTATTTAAATGTGTTTTTGTACAGATTAGTATCTTTGATATTTTTTCGTATATATAATATGCATTGGGTTGCTAGCGATTTGATTTAGTTAAAAAAAAAAGTTTTTGATTACCGCAGAGAAATCCAAATTAAAATTTGTGGAAGCCTTTTATTTTTCACGAAAAGTGCACAATTGTTTCAGTGATTCATCAGATTCACAGAGATAGCGATTTCTGCTGTGTTGATTTCTTAATGCTTTCAGAGACATAGCAAATGTGAAATAGCCGTTAATGATATTATGTTCCATCGTTTTATTGGGGTTGCTCTCGTAGAAAATTGGAGAATATGCTAACATTATGCACCTCGATACTTTTTAGGTCGATACATTTTATTTCAAACTACTTTTTTTCTTTTTTGAATTATGAAGATTCTTTTAAAATATTTTTTTAATTTAAAATCATACTACCAAAGTTGCACAAGCTCGGACGGATGGACGCTCATTTTTTCGAGTTTACCCCTCATGCCAAACGCCGATAAAGATGTTTCACATAAAAAAAAAGTTGAGAATCGACACTGTCTTTTCTTTTTCATTGATTTTGATTTTTGATAATGTAATTTGTGTGTGGATGTAGCGAGTCAACTCAAGTACAATCTACTAATTTTTGTAAATACTAATGAACAATTTTTCAATTGAACATTTTATTTAAAAAAAAAAAAAAAAAATTATCATCATGGTTATTATATCAATAGCTAATTACATTTCACACAATCTAAGTACTTATATATCGTTAAATTAATCTTTTAAGTACCGACATTTCGAGATGGATAAAAAAACGAATAATCGTTGTTTTATAATATGAAGCATTTATGAAAAAAATCTTATCATCTGTCTTAGTATGATCATATTTATTCGTTAGAATGATTTTTTACTTACATAATAAGGCCCATAAATGTTTCCATCAATGTTCTGATTTGAATAAATATTGGCAACATCGTCTGGGTAATCCAATCCGGAAATAGATCCTGGATCGAGATACATTGATGAATATAAAGATGAACTCCGTAGGTCGCCAATTTCTCTTTTTGCACTAGTTGGGACAGCTTTTGGTTTTACCGTCACCATGCAAAATGTGAATATTAGCAATAGTTGTATCTGTTGAAAAATATTTTTACTATGGAGATAACTGACTTTTTAAAATAAAGTGAGGAGATCAATGCCATTGAAATCGATTTCAGTCGAACAACTTTACGCAAAATATAGATTAAACAAAAATTCATTTTCTCAAAATCTACATTCATAGATTTAAAGTAAATCTTACCTGAATCATCATGTTGATCGACACTATGTTTGTTTATTATTGAACGCAAAATTTGCATTGCGGTGTTATTTATATACTTCTTCGCTTCGTATGAAATAATACAGCTTTACATATTACTCATGCGACATTGATGATTTCTCTTGAATTTTACACAAAAAATTAAGCCTTTGTTGTAGATGTTATGGTTGATTTAAAAATTGTTTGATTGGTGCCCATGAGTCGTAAAAAAATTCATGCAAAAAAATTAAAATACATGAAAATGGAATGAATCAAAAAATTGATTTATGACATAAAGACATGACTGTTACCTACACTGTTAAAATATCTTAAATTCAATTAAGTCTTGTTACTAAGTAAGCCGCAATAAGACTCATTATTGAGTATAAGCATCAATAATAATATTACTAAATTCAAAATTATAAATTTAATTTAATTGAGGTCGTAAATTACTAAGGCATAAACCTCTAAAACGCCAAAAATGTTAAAAAATTTTATCGTTTCATAAAGTTTGGACCAGATTTCAACCACTTTAAATATAATTAAACCATTTTATGCCTCCGCCACTAGATGGCGAACACCTTTTTTGTAAATCTGCAAGCGGTAAAGTAAAAATAATCTTACTAATTTCAACCAAAAATTAAAATCATGTTTTTAATTTTGTGCAGTTTATCTCACGACAAAAAAGTGTCAATCACACTTTTATCTTGAAGTTATAATAATAAAAAAAGATGCGCACCCGTGATTAAAATTCGTACAAGCTAATTATCTCAGAAACTTTTGTCATTTATTCACTTGGAGAATGCGTGCATAAAGTATGCATCGGCTTCATATCAGCAAAAGCTACGCTACCATTGCTCGATCTCTCAAGATTTATCTGCAACACTAATACCCTCGGTACAGTTTCATTGAGCTGGGCGTTGACGTTTACTCTTTTGAGAAAATTATGTAATTGCACTTTTTATAGGTGATCGCCATGAATCATGTTCTATAATCTGCTTTGCACGTTTGTTTACGTTGATTATGTTTGGCGCATACGCTTAGCATCAATTGATTCTTTTTTATAATTCTTGAGAATGTAGGGCTTGTATCTTGAACTTAGAGCATTTTTTAATTCACGTGATGCGGATTCATCAAAGCAAGAAAATTTTTAGGAATGATTCATATCTTTAATGACAAACACATTATTATGACTCATAGAATTTTTACATTAAACATTCGGTGCTCCTTTAAAATTGTAAATAGGTATTAAAAGTTATGTTTGTTTATTTTTTTATACTTTCAAAGATAAATTTTTACAAAGCAAAAAGTCCTAGTAACTTAAATAAAAAATGAGCACTGCATGGACTAATTCGAACACTGTAATGATGAGTAGACGAAATCTATTTTGTTCCAATCACTTTCAGTCACTCGAGTCACTCAAGGTTTTTTTCACAAAAAGGAATCGTCATTTAAAAAAGAATGTAATTATTTTGTTTATAGATAGTTGAGTCACTTATAGAGGTACCTAGATAAAAAAATTATTTTTTTGTGTATGTTTAATTTAAATCTATGAAAAGGTAATATAAAGTTTTTTAAATTATTGAACAAGCAGACTGCATTAAACGACGAACGAAATTCGTTTGATGGTAATAGTGCACTTGTCAATCTTGTTTTGTCTTTTGCATGTATTATCAAGATACACTATGCAACCATTTAGCCTACAAAATCTATCTAGTCGTGTGAAATTTTTAAACACAAATTTTTTTATAATCGATTACAGTTGAAAATAAAATGTACTATTAATCTATGTTTCCTGCAATAATGAATGAATTCAGTTACGTCTAAAGTTTCATCAACTCGATTGTTTTGCAGTTGAAGGTTAAATCAATAGTACTCTTGATTTTTGATTTTTATTGGTATTTCTTACATTTACAAGCTTTACAAAAATAATTATTACATAAATACATATAAACGTACAGTATTTGTAATTGTTCATACTTTACGCATTGTAGTAACTGTAATGTACGATAGTTAATGATCATGGATACTACTTTTTTTAGTAGTAAAAAGGGAACTTATAAATTTTAATTAATAGGTATTAGTAAAATTTAGTATAAACATAAAAAAGGTAAGCACATAGTTATGCACTTACATAGTAACAAAATTCTTACTATTTGTTACATGAAGAAATGACATACTATATTCATTGGATATTATAAATGCATTTTAAAATAGCGAGTTTTGGCTTATTTAACGCAAACTTGAAAATAAACTGAAGAATTTAATAAAAATAATGATGACATTTAAAAATGTCATTCATAAAAAATATTTAATTTCAGAAATCTTAACATTATAATGGTAAATGCCTCTTGAAATTTTTCTTCATTTTCATTACATGTGAAGTACACACATTAAAATAAGTTATGTATTGAGAATGAAAAGTTATTTATTAATCGAGCTAATACTGTATTTTTCAAATAGTTCACATATAATGGCTATAAATTGTCAGTATAAATGGTCTCGTAAATCGATGAATTCAACTAGAAAGCGTCGTTCATTTTTATAAGGAAATGTTTCTCTCCGTAAAGCTGTACCATCTTTTGTTTCTTTCCAATGTGATTTTTTTTCGAGATTTTGAGTGCTGCCAAAGAAGTATTAAATTTAACCACTCTTTTATTAAAAATATTGAAGAAGAAGAGGGCAAAGATAAAAGCAGAGTTTCTCTTTTAGAAGATACGAAATAAGAAAGTAGTAAAAATAAAAGATTTACGGTTTTTTTTGTGTCCTCGAGATCAGTAAAATATTTCATAAAGAGAATTAAACTCTTTTGGACTTACTTATAATAATAAAAATGAAAATATATTGCATTAGTCAAGTTCTAATCTCGATAAAATCAAGCTGGCGTGTATAATTTTCTATGCAAATGTATGCATTGATTTAGATGTCATAACCATTACTAGTTAAATCTTCTGTATTGAAAACAATTTAATGCCACGAAAGTTAATTATTATTCACTTTTTATGTGTATTGAAATCAAATGTACCTGCAGCTATACTCAAATGCATACACCTGTATTTACACACGTTACTTGATATCATAATAGTCAATAAAAGTACACGCAGTAGTTGTACACTCTGTACAAGCGATCCAACCCATAGAATCCAGCGATGATCTAGATCAGGATCAATTGATTTTTTTTTAATTAATACTTTTCATCGTTGTTGAAAAAAAAATTAATATTTATAAGCTCAAAATAATTAGGATTAGTGGAGATGCTCATAGCCGTAGTAGTCGGGCGCGTGGTGAACGTATTTAGGCACTGGATGATGGGGATGCAGCTGTGGTCCTACTTTCTTTACTACGGCGTTGAATCCATTGTGGTCGTCGGCGGTATACTCGACGATTCGGACGCTACCGTCGGGTTCGTTGACTGAGTACGAGCCGTGGACAACATCGCCATCGCGCACCTCGTGCTGCGTCTTTACGTCGCCGGTGTGAGGATCATGCACTCCGTAGTTGAAGGTATACTTGGGATGAGACTGCGAAAAAAATCCGATAGTTTTAATTAGTATAGCTTATACTTATCGAAGAAGATGAATATCCGTATATTTCATCGGCTGTTATTGGAACTTATTTTAAAAAAGTCTACCAAGAAAATATTGATACCAATATTAATTATAAGATAGCATAAAAAACTTGGTAAATAGTTTCAGAAAAACAAAAACTGCAAAATGAGCTTTCAAGCTTTCTTTGCATCGACAATTCCCGTTCTAATATCTGTGAAAACCAATATTAATTATTTAATTTCCATTTGAACAATTTGAAGCTTATACATTTTCAAAACACCCGAGATAAGATGAAAAAATGGGCGACCTCAGTAACCAAATAATGCACTGTGCCACCTGACGCAAACTACAGCCGATTGCAGCATCATAATAATAAAAAATGTTGCACATATGTGCACCCGTTACAATGTTAAAGCGGAGAGTCCATTAACGCAATTCCTGCGATGATTATGATTATGTTCAGACATAATACAATGCGTATAGTACACGCAGAGTCGGGCAGCTTATAGTACATTTATACGAACGAGAGCTTGTTACATATTTCACGCGTCACCACAGACACTTTCATAATAGTTCTTCTTATCCAGGACAGCACAACAAATAATAAAAAAACGAGAGTTAGCTCATAAAACTTTCAGACGTAAGAGGGTAGCTTCTTATAGAGAAATGAAAAGCATCACTTTACCATCAAAGTCTTTTATTCTTCGAGTAAACTTTCGGGCGTATGATTGACGAACGAAATTTTCAACGTTCTTTTCCTAAACGGTTTTTGCGATTCCCGTATTATTATCTAGCAAGACTTGATATCAAATTATTCACTATCATAGATATTGTTATCATATAATTGTTAGAAGGACTTGGGTTGAACATTTTAAAAACTTGTTGCAATGGATGACTCGAATGAAAACTAAACCGTTCAATTTAGAAATATATCTACGATACATAACAACATATCTGTATTTCAACAATCCTACAAAAGAAAACTTCAGAAAAAAGATTTAGATGGAATAAAATGTTTAATGAAAGCTTAAAAGATTGAAGATTCGTCTTTGAATTATAGGAGCATCTATATACCAAAAACTCGTTAGGTTTTAGTGTCACTTTTATTGCTTCTTACGCGTAACTTTTGACAAAAAGTTTAAACGAATTATTTAACTATTTCATTTTGTTTTGTTACATTATGTATTGTCTTCGAGATCATTTAATTGCGAGAGCTAAGACGACATCTTATGTCGAAAATACTTATGAATTTAATGAATGTTCAGGCGTCCATTATCTGCATACTGAAAAAATTTGGGTTACAAAACGATTTTAAAAACAAGTCGTGAAAAAAAACCGTTAAAAATAAAAAGTTTCTCGCTTCAACGGCCAAATTTATAAAATTCTTGTTATACTGCGACGTAAAACATCAACTTTTTCTCTAAATAAGATGATTTAAGAACTTCATTTAACTCAAATCTTCTTAATCCTCTACTGATTTTTTTTTTGAGTTCAGACATTTCAAAAGTAAATACTGGTCAGATATTGCGCGAAGTGCTCTTCGATATAATATGTGTCTGAAAATGCTTCAAGTTTGTTTGTACCAATCTAATGAGCTTCTAATGAACTTTCTTGCCCTAATGGATTTAGTTTCGTTTCTGTGATCAAACATCCTTGCCAGCCAAGGCTCTAATATTTAATTTGAAGACGAATTTAAAATGGTCAAATTACAAAAGCACATTCTACGATCGTCGGTTAATTGCGAATTCTTTATGTATGCATAACATACATTGTGCGAGATAATATTCACAGTTCATCGTATTACGTACAATTTCCAGTAACAGCTCATCGTCGAGTTAACGTGAGCAATAATGTAAAGGACTTACGTAATAGTCATGTTCGTGGTCGTGATCGTGATGGCTGTGGTGGCTGTGATGATCGTGATGGTCGTAGTGATGATGCAGCTCGTGATGCGGCTCAGGCAGGACGGCGTGGTGATGATGATGCAGAGGCGCCGCCGAGACGGCGTGTATGGGAACGGCTACGGTCGGCAGGACCGCGTGGCCGTCGTGATAGTCCTCGAAGGCGGCATAATCGTAATGATGGTGATTGTGACCGCCGTTGTAACCGATCACCAGACCATCACACCAGCTTATCAGTACGCCCAGAATCACCAGAGTCTTTCGGGGGGTGAAAAAGAACGAAACATGATTAAGGTCGTGTTATATGGTACTGTTCGGTTAAAAAATGATAAATTTAAAAATTACGCTTAAATTTTTATTCAAACTATAATTTTTATCTTACATAGTTATATTTGTATCTGGTAGAAATATTTCGCCTGATTGAGTCACACATTTTAACAATTTTTTTTATAAATTAAAAAATTCTAAACTTATTTAATGCCACAAAATACCTCAATTTTTTTTTGAATAATTTTAGGGTGCAAGAATTTATTTGAAAATTACTATAAATTATTGAAATATCGTATTTCTCCATTACTTAGTAATTTTAAAAAAATTGCAAGTTTTAGTAAATTTATCAAGCGTATAAAAATTTTGTTCATTTCCGAGTTATTTTCAGATAGTTTATGCAGTAAGTTACGCATTTTTATTCCGATTTCATTCTAAACAATTACTTCATTAATTTTAAATGTGTACAAATGAAAGTTAGACTTTTTATTATTTTAAATGCTCAGTTTTTTTACAATAATATACATCCTTATATGAATCTACTCTTGATGCGTGTAGCATCGTAGCTTATGCTTCAAATGGTTTACGTTTTTTCAATTTCATGGAATTAAATATTAATGTGTCTGATGAGAATCGTGGAAAATTTCTCATATAAAGGAAGCAGATCTACGAGATTTTAATCTGAAAATTGAGCATATTAAAACTTCATCAATAATTCTTGCAGAATACAAAAAATTATAAAATTATGAAATTTCGACGACCAATTGGAATTTCAAATGCTCATCAAATATGGGTTTAATTTTACCACGTTAAATACCATATCGGTTTTTTACTAAAAAAAATTCAAGATTAAAACAAATCGAGAAAAAGTAAATGAGCTTCGTGTATCATGTCTCCGGGACATTTTTCTGACGTGCGGCAAACGTTTTCCATGGCAAAAAGAATCCTTTGAATCCAACGATCTTGTGAGCTGCTGCCCGAGTCAACATTTAACAGTATATAATACCGCACATACGAGAGAATAATTTCAAGCACGCGCGCAAGCCAGTTACTCGTTTGTAGTGGGAACATAATTTTTCGCGCGCGGGATGCATGAAATTTATTCGCTGGCGCTATCTTCCATGCTCCAACGAGCGCATTTTCTCTCTCTTCCTTTCGCTCTCTGTCTCTCTCAGTGCGTAGATATATTTTGTATGCGACAACAGTGAGCAACAATGAAGCAACAAGCAAACATAAGCGCCGGAAGTATAGCCTATGAACGATCCCTTTACTGTGTGGCCAGCCGCGTATGTGCATAGCGGGAAAGTCGTGGCTGCGGCAAGTTGATGTGATTTTTTTTATAGTTCCCAAGCCAGAGAAAAAGAGAGAAGGAAAAGAAAATGCCACCTGTCGTTGACCAGATAATAACGAGCCTCGTAACGACTTGCATAAATTTACTTTTTTGAATTGCTACTGTTGTGGCTGCTTCTCCTAATGGACATGGGTCTACTGCCAAGCGTATTTAAATGCGCCAATGAGATTTGTAAAATACACGCGTTTACTCGTGTACTCTAATGCGCCGCGTGTATACGTAACCGAGTAGAAAGATGCGAAGCCAATCTTTTGACTACGAATGAAGTATCTTCTTTTTTCTTTTTCATTGGCTTTGATTGTTATTTCGCAGACTCAAACTTTCTTTTAAAAATAAATATGATAGATTGCTGAAGTGTCGCGCGCGCAACTAAGTAAATGTTTTGCATAGCGTAATCGATTTTCTTTCAAAGATACAAACTAAATAACCGGTAACCAATGTATTTACTAATACTTAAATCTCAGCGTTATAAGAGTACTTATGCTGTTTCTATTCAAATTTTTTAAACTGAAAATTCCCTTTGTAATTCGTTTTCATGATTTAAAAACTTTAATAAGTTGATTATTATTTAATTTAAAATTAATTTACTGCAATAAATATTTTAATCTTCCTTGAATGAACATTGATATTTGACACTGAAAAAAGACACCGATTTAGCGGTTATTTCGTTTTACTACCTATTGCTATTTCTACTTGTTAAAATCAAATATACTATAAACATATTGATGAATCATCAAAAAATCATATTCAGGAAAATTTGAAAGAAAAATTCAGTCGAAAAAGTTAAAATTATTCTTTGATTCGAAAGTAGTTAATTTGTTTTCAAGCTTATCTCGCGTGATAACGTGTACAGTGTTTAATTAGAAACAAAAATCCTTCGTGTTTTTTATAGAGTATACATTTTTGTACCCAGAGGAAATTAACTTCTAGAAAATTCATTATCTGACTTTTAATGCGGCAGCTCCTGCATTTTTAGCTTGATTGAAAAATAAAATATTATTTTCACGAAAATTAAGTAAAAAAACAGACATTATAAAGGCTGAAATAACTATACTCAATTTAAAAAATTTATGTTCTGATGATCGATTCAAAATTACTCATCGTACTTACAAATGTTGACGGTTTCAGTGATATTTGTGAAAAAAAGTATAAATTTCTTAATAAATAAAAACAATGTAACCTACCTTTAATCTTTTCAAGAATTTATAATTACTAAGAAGTTTCGATCTTCCTAAGCCTTTTATTAATCAACAATCACAGCTTCAACTCATACCTTAAAACTAGACTCACAACATCACACAACATTTCATTAAAAAAAAAAAAACACTCATTTTGTACCTTCAACATTTTGCTGCCTTTCTGATTAATTAGTTCGATTAAATGAAATCAATTCGATGCTTCGAAACACAAAAATACTCGAAAGAGCAAAAAAATCTTGCAATGCACTGAGTCAAACGTTTAATAATCGTCGTCGTCGAAACACCTTAAATTTACCGAAAGTATCTCGCTCCCGATTTAAAGCAAAAACAAAACGTGAGCCGAGAGCGCGCAAAGACACTGATAGCATCATCAGCGACCGCATGGGCTTATATCCATCTCCCACCCGGTGAAGTTTTTCCTTTTGCGCGCCGCACTTACCCCACGTAGTGTAGTATTTGCAGCACTATCACATTCACGTGCACAAACTTGTGTATGTGCATGTGGATGCAGTAAGCAGTTATGGGAGCACAAGAGCTGGGGTTTAGGGTAAAGGTGGAGGTAAAGGTACGCCGTATACGTAGAGCCGCCTTCGTTGCAATTCACTCTCACTCTCGATATAGCCCACGCATGGCTCGATGTGCAGCAGCAGCAGCAGACTAATCTCCTTTCTTTTTTCCAGCAGCTAAGCCCTTTTTCAGCTACATGTCGATGTTTTGCAGGGTTCACTATACTACCTATATGCAGCTTCGAGAATGCGTGTACCAGTATTTTTTATCCTTTCTCCACGAGCGCAATCGCTTTTCAAGTATATACCTACTATCTGCCCCTACCGATATGATTTTTATAAGACACACACAATCCGTCGGTTCTCTTGTTTTTCCAACAACAACAACAACAACAACAACAACAGCGCATGCACATCTCGCTGCAGCTTCGCGTGTGTGCACCAGCTTTTAAATTTATTAAGCATCGTTCGCGCGAGTGCATTTAATCAGTGCACGCGCTGACTTTACGACGGGATATCTCCGCAGCTATATTATGGTATAGGTTTTGTGTGCGAGGCAGTCGGTCTGCAGTGCGATCTTCGGATGATTCGACTTTGCGAAATCGTAGTACGTGTGTGTGGTTTACGCGCCGCGTGCACGTCTCTCTCGAATATATCGCTGCTCGTAATATATGCTCTGTATTTTGATTACGAAGATGCACGTACATACGAGCGCTCCTCTATACATAGGAGCAAGATTTACAGGTGCTCGCGCGCAGACGAGCCATTAGTTTGCGGTATGATATACATACAATAGAAATAACGCCGCGTATTATTATTTTTCGGTGCAGGATTGCGCGTTGCGTTATATCGACGATTGGCTGCTGATGTAATTGACGATATACCGTGCGCGTGTGTGAAATGGCTAAACGAGCATTTAAAAGTACACATACTTCGCAAACATCAAATTTTCATGGTAATTGCTCGATTACAATGGGTATTTTTGATTATTAAATGGTGGCCGATTAGCGCATGCGCGCGGTTACGTGCGGGCAATTTGCAAAAGTTTATACGGTTATTAAATGTGAACGAACCACGACGAGGATGAGCATTCAAGCATTCGGTATACATTATAGTAGCTTGAAAAAGACAAGAATAGAACCATTGAAAGCAGAGTGTGAAAAAGTCTTTACGATCATCAACACATTCGGGAGATGAATGCAAAAAAAAGATAAATAGCGTGAAAAAAAAGGAGAGAAGCTGTCATGTGTATAACACACTCGCACACATACGAATCTGCACGCGCGCGCGCGAATATGCAAGGACCGTAATATCGTTTTGGCCTAGTTTCGGTTGGCTTAGCCGCTGCCTGCCTCAGCCGCCGCCGCCACGCAGGCGTGGTGAATCTCTCGCGCCTCGCCAAGTATATCCTGCTTATAATCCTTGCGGCACAGATAGGACCTGACGTGCATACGTGTATACGCGTGTGTATGTGTGTATTATATGTCTGGTGGTATATACAAGACGTTGTTATTGCGCGACACGTGGACGTGTCGTAAGAGAGCCTCGCAGCCAGAGAGACTCTCTGCGAAATGCGAATTCTTCCCGCGCGCGATCACGGAAACTTCTTTGCACACACAGACACACGAAAAAAAAAGAACCAAGTACACGAATACTATGTGCGCGTATTTTAATTTGTCGGCAGCGCGCGCCCGCACAATTGTGTATATATGCGCGCGTACGCGTGCGTCGATTGTCCGCGCGACGACGCGCTCGGCGTTTCGTAATTTTTTGGACCGGTGCTAGATGCAAATACAGATTATACACACACGCGCGTACGAGTAGCAAGTGAAACTTTTTGCATTTCGTTCTTATACTGTTTCTTTTTTTTTCTTAAATGAACTTTAATACGATTTTTTTCCATTTAAATTCTTAATTAATATACAACGACTTGTTGCATAAGATCGATTGAAAAAGTTTCCTTCTAGAAGTTCCGCAGAGAAAATAAAAAAGGATTTTAAATTTTATCCGAGTTGATGATGACTTGGGTAGCATCATTTGTTGCCATTAAAACATACAAAACGGGATACGCAGTTTAATGAAGCTCTTGGCTCGAACGCAGCTTTGTTACACTATTGTAATTACTTCATTGTGGAAATTATAATAGATTTGCCATTATGAAAAGGCAATTCAGATGAATTAAATATAATAACTTTATTTCTCGGTTACGATTTCCGTATTCCGCTCGTACGCTTCACCGCGGATGAGTACATCTTTCGAAAATAAAAATAAAAAAAAAGGAAGAAAACCAAGTTATTTCGTAATCACTCGAGAAGGCAAGTGTGTCACGCGTTGCATATAATAACCGTAAAAGGTCGACTTTTTCCTTTAAAACCGTTTAATTTGATTTTATAAAACGTGCCTCATATCGTAAAACGTGTAAGTATGTGCTCTTGACAAATCGTCAACGCCGCTGCGCGATAAAATTACGCCTCTGTGTATTGAAACAATACCAGGGCTCGTTCAATTACAATCCCTGCAAATCTTCTTTAGTGCCTGCCGCGTGTATGTAAAGCGATCAACTGTAACTTACACGTACAAGAGGCGCTCATGCATCATAAATACATTAAGTTGCGCAGATCTTTGAAGCTGCAGCAAAGGATAAATTATACAAACGTTCAACATTTGATTTATTCATTGTGGATGACAATTGTTTTGCATTCATTTACTCGTTTAAAGTACATGTTTATCAAATTAACTAAGAATTAACTCCTTGAAAGGGTTGAATGCTTTTTCATATATATAAGAAAAATTAATAATATATTATATAATCCATGATTTAAATTATAAGCAACATAAATAATAAATTTGATCTTACGAAGAACCACACATTTTCTTAAATTAGTGTTTTAGTTCCTTTTCTACATTTAGGATTGTAAAAAAATAAACAAGTTTGCTGAGTTCTTGAGGTAATACAAATATAATGACTTAATGTAGTAAAAGTTACTGTAACTCAATTTCGAAAGATTTATTAGTAGGTATTTCTATCAAATATAAGTATTGAAGTAATACGAGCCTTTAAGAAGTTTCATATATAAACTGTCGGAGATTACTCTTAATTGAATTTATCAATACAGTTGAACAAAAAGAAGCCATTATTGATAATTCAACTTTTGATATCAAGTAAAGAAGTTTTAATCGAAACATTTAAAATTTTTAAAATTTATTCAGGCGAATAATTTTAAAATCGATCGAAATCTATTTTTATATATATTTTATAGATAACTACTGCTTGGTACTTTCCAGGACCTATTATATTTGTGCACGCCAAAGTAACCTATTTATGGCTTTATCGCGAGACCGAGCGTTTTATGCTAAATCATATAAAACTAGATCATGTCAACGCAAGATCTTTTTAATTGGGTATTTTCCCTCGTATAAGATTATTGAGTTTGAAATCAAATAATCAATGACCAGTAAACATACACATTTTCACACTTGATTTAAAAGTCAGTGTAACAATTATAACAAAATCATTATTTTACTTTTTGCTGCTGGCTCGATTGATAGGAAGAATCTATCGAAGTCATTTTAATTCGCAAGTTATTTATGTTAATTATAAAGTTTAGTTTATTGAATAGAGCGTGATCAAGCTTGACAGCATGTACTACACCAATCAGCTAAACCACTTGAATGGAAATTTAATAGAGGTAACTATTTCAAAGCGCCACGAAATTAAATGCCAAATCCCATTACCAATAACTGAAATTATTTAGCAGAGAGTAGCTACCGAGATCACCTGTGTTTTCAAGCGCACGAAAGCGCGTTTCTTCCCATAGCTATTACGGGCTATGATACACATATAAGCATTAACGATCGAACCGGATGCCTTGAGCGTCTCATTGTAAGTATTTTTTTATAAGGACCCAACACTCGTACACACACACTTATGGGGTACATTGTGCATATATATATATAAGGTCAATTGCGCAACGATTATATGTGTATCCACTCACATTGCGAGAGAGAGAGAGAGAGAGAGAGAGACAAACTCAGGGCAAGCGACTAACTTGCAAACTTTGTCTCTCGCGTGGCGCACTCCTCTCTACATATACGTATAGTACACATATACAGCACCATATAGTTTACTACAAAGGCGCGCGCGCGAGCGATCGCTCCCTTTCCTTTGAAGCCACTTTAACGTTGTGCGCAAGTTTGCGCACTCGCGGATCGAAATGTATTTTCTCTGGGCTCGAGTAGATGTGTAGCCTATGTATGCAAAACTCAGAAACTTGCCAGCGTAGTATTTACTCTTAACGATGATATTGTAAACAACAGCTCTTATCTTCTGTTATGAGAAACACGAGAAACGTTTGGAATCCGCGGTCAATCAGAATTTCAAAATAATTTCATCGCAGCCACCTAACGAACGAACGATTGGATTTCAATTAACGAGTCACAGGTTCATATTCTTTCTCGTTTGCAGTGAACCACAACAGCGAGGTATATACCGAGCGGCGATATTGCTTTGCCTGAACGATTCATTATATGGTATATAAGTACGAGCTGCATTGGCAGCGATTCGCTCAAATGAGAAAAAAAAGAAGCCACAACTTATATACACACACACACACACACACACACACACACACACACACACAAATAAGTAAAAGCTTTTACAAGAGCAACAGTCTATAACTAGGATTGAGGCGAGAAAGGCTGTACGGCATATAATACTCGTGACCGAGCAATGATACGGAGGCATTAACGAATGTGTATATGTGCTTCGCGCATCTTTTGCCTTTTTTCTTCTTAAATAATAATACAGAAAATATTTATACGGAGAG